TTTCTGTAATGCAAAATTTTTAAATAAAAATCACGTGGCTGCCTTAACTTGGACAGACCTCATGTTAATTCGCGACAATAAATATGCGATATGAAGTATTTTGTCATTGCTTTTAAAGTGTTCCTAAAAACATTATCTAACAGCTAAATTATTTTTTATCAAATCGTTTAGTAGTTGGCCAAAAAGTTGCACTCCTTAAGAAACATTACGAATCACACTTTATCATAACAGATAATGATTACTATATATAACGTTATAAGAATTTTTATCTACACTATCCACGACAATTAGAAAATACAGAAATAGTCTGGTCCGCAAGTAACGAATTCACATTTATATATTATATGACCAATCGTTCACGTGATCGTGCATCGAAAAAACTTGATAATCGGTTTATGTTAAATAATTTACAGTAATTATGACGAGCAGAAAACGACCACCGACAAAACTTAGATCTATTACTATCGAGCCAAATTATGTAAATAGAGACGGCTCTGCTTTGTTTAAATTTGGTATGTTGAATTATTCTACTTTCCGATACACAGCTCAATAAATTTATAGTGCTTTGAATCATATAACTATAGGCGACTCTGCTGTTGTATGTTCTGTAAACGGACCAACTGAAGTTAAATTACGTGATGAGAAAGTGGATAAAGCAACAATCGATGTAATATTTAAACCTTTAGTTGGTTTACCTGGTAAGTATATTTATCCTTCAGTATACTATGATCTGCATCAATCAATAATTTTAGTTATTTTATATTTAACGATCACAATAACATAAAGGTGTCATATGCAGATCGTCGTAGACAGAAGGATAATACCGTTATTAGGCGTGTAAGCGAACAATAACTGCATTATTCGTCAAAGATCTGTTAGACCGCTATCGCAGTCAAATACATCTAACAAATCTTTTCCGAATAACTGCAGTTATTGTTCACTACACGCCTAATAACTATTATATTAATATGCGCGTTTTTTTTTTTTTTACTGTGAATTAATTTTACAAGAGCGTATATGTTTATAGGTACTAAGGATAAAACACACGAATATATTATACGTTCGACAGTTGAAAGTGTTATTAAATCAAATCTTTATCCACGAACATTAATCCAAATTGTGTGTCAAGTGATGATGGATGATGGAAACGTATCCCTTTTTTATCGCGACATACGTCATTATCACCATGGATTGCGAAGATTAAAATTATATTTAACTCTAATTATTGAATCAGATTTTAGCAACAGCAATAAATGCAACAATATTTGCTCTAATGAATGCCGGTGTTGAAATGAAAGATATTGCCGTAGCTGTTGCTTGTATTGTGAATCAAGACGGGAATATATTGATTGATCCAAAATTACGAGAGATCGAGGTTTGTTTAACAATTATTTTTCCATACGAATTAGAAAAATTTCTTTGTTCTCAACTTTTATTTCTCAACTGTTATTTTAATGTTTATAGAAAGCTCAGTCTTATCACACATTTGCATTTAGCAAAACAACATTTGGATTATTATTTTGTGAGTCCACCGGATTATTCACTGAACAGCAGGTATTAAATAATTAAACAGCCACATTCCACAAACATTATTTAAATTAACCACTTATTTTATTTATATAATTGCCAGTATTTTGAATGCTACGCAGTTTGTAAAATTGCTGCACAAGAAATAATAGATGAAATTCGCGTGAAAATTCAATCGGATCTCATCTAACGAATTCTCATTTTTAAATTACAAACACATGTAACGACTTTTCTCGATAAATGTCACGTGTACAAATTAAATCTATTTTAATTCATGTAATGAACTATCGAGAGCAATAATATAATAAAAAATTTGGTTCATTACCGAAATAAGGTATAATTAGCTTCGTAATAAGAACGTTCATAAAATTACGGTCATTTTCCATGTGCCTTTTTTTGATACGTAACAATCTGCTAAAGTGTTTGCTCATGTAATAGACTTTGAAAAGTATAATATATTAAAAAATTCTGTTATTTTTGTTAGTATGTAATAAAAATCCTATATAAACAAAGAAATTTGTATTAGTAACAGTAATATAAGCAGCAACTGTTTAAGGGTTTGAAGACAGTCGTTGGTAACACTATAAAGGACTTCATGGTCTATATAGCGAACGGTATATCTTTTTTTGGTAGGCCAATTTTTTTATTCAATAAACTTGGAGTTTAGGATATAAAAACAAAGGGTCATCCGCCAATAATTCCTCTTTTGTAAATAATTGAAACTATAGATAAAAAATCACCAATTTTATAACATACGTTCTGGATATTTCGGACAACGGCAAGGATCAAATTCAATTAGGGCTATGTTGCAAAAGCAAACTGAGATGGAACATCAAAAACAAAGAGAATCAAATGAATTGGGAATGTTTTCGTGGTATGGTGTTGGTCCTCTTGTCTCTATTCAAGGTTTTATCTATTATGGCCGAATTATATATTAACACCCTTTATAAACACCTTTCGATGTTAGATACATTTTCGCTCGTTGATGCAAACGGCATCCTTAGTTTCCACAAGATAATCCTAACACAAATGGCAAACTTGGGCACGAAGTGCAAAAAAGAAATATCACTACTTAATGATATTGGAGAATAATCAAGCACGATTATCTATATAGATTCAACAAACCACGAAATTGGTCTTCATACCATATATTACTAAAGTTCTTAAAACAATAATCTTATGGATTGGCCAGATTTAAATCCAATCGAAAACGTGGCAAATAATTAAATACATCATGAGATAAATCCCAAACTTAAGAACGCAGAACTTCATCACATAGTGAAATATAACTACTTGACTATTTCTACTTACATTGAAACCAATAGTAATTCTACAAAGTATTGATAGGTTAATAACATTTGAAGCTCAAAATATAAGCTACAAATACTTTCATTATAAATTTACTTGCTGTATATACGTATTTATTAATACAATCAACTCTTTATACAACGAATTGACGGTTCTGGAAGAAAACGTCCATTATAGGAAATTACTATGTTTTCTTAAATGACTCATAGCACTTTCTATACCGAATTATTATGGAATTTTAAAATTTTGAGTTCGTTATATCCAGAGTTCGTTATATAGAGGTTCGTATATCCAGAGTCGACTGTATTAAATAAAGTGCCTATAATCTTATAAGTGTTCTTAGTTCGGGCCAATTTTTTATTATTTCGATTTTATTAGATTAAAATTATATAATAAGCCAAATTTTATTATATAATACGTACGTACATAAAATTTATCTTTTCTTAAATCCATATTTTTTCCGTTCATAAAATAAGTCCGTTTTCGATGATCCAAGATTCACAATCTTTGGACAACCATCTCTCTAATTTGATAAAATTATGTTACTACTTATAAATAAAACATAAAAAAAAGACTTTAGAAAAATAAAGATTACGTCTTTCTCTTGTAAAACACATTCTTTACAGTAATAAGCATCCGAAACACCAGGCGCACCGCAAATCACACAACGCCCTTGGTAAGATCCATAATTGCACTCATCACAAATTCTAGAAAATAATATAAAGTGTTATATACTGTTTTGATTGTTACTAAAGATTACATATTACTAACCGAACAAGAGTATCTGGCCGTACGTATCTAAAATTAAAATTTTTGACATAATTTAATTGTAATTAAATTTATATTAGGAGTTTTTTTTTTTTTTTTTTTTTACTTACGAATCACAGATAACACATTTACCGTCACATTTTTCGCATAAACGACCAATGGCTATTGTTTAACGCAAGACATTAGCATATATCGCAAAAGATTTCTATAAAATTTTTCTTAAAAAAAAAAAATTATACCAATGCCAGGTTGCTTACGGCACATGATAAGATCTGGATGATGTTTTGCCATTGGTGGTAATATTCAAGCGAATTTAGTTTGCTGTTTTCAGATATAACGGATCGAGTAGTAAATTAAAGACTCAAAAACAAAACTTTCAAAATTTATTTGTGATTACGTAATCAATATGCATTTGTTTGAGGGTTGGATTTTTAGAAGTTACACGGACCAAAATTAGCAAACGTGATTGGCGCAGCAAAATGGATGGCCAATAAAAAACGGGTACCCTTATGTCAAGAAAATCCCGGGCTGAAGATCACTTCCGACCCTATCCGGATCCAATAAAATCAC